TGTTTACAAAATGGAAGCGTTTACAAAAGGTTCCAGAAACAGTCCCTTAAGGCTTGAGTTTAAATTGTCAAGAATTTCCTATTTCTTAGACTATTGTTTAGAACTCATATTAATGCACTCCTATTACAGCATAAATTCATACCATTTTTCTCTCTGCTATAATGTCCTCTCATAGAAAATGCAACCAGTGACAGAACTAAAATCTGCAAAATAAATTCGTACTGTTAAAAATGTGTGATATTACATGGCTAAAAATCAAGAATAAGAAGGAAACTTAGTACAGAAAACTCATGTTTAAATTTCAGAAGGTGCCTTCTTATAGTTAAAACCATCCAAAGCAAGTACTACTTAAAGCTGCTTTTTTATGTGTTCATCACAGTATTATCAGCAACGATTTCCAGGCAATGTATGCTTAAATTTTAAACTCAGGGGAAAGTCTGCATTATAAATCTAACAATGACAACAGTTCTTCTATGTACTCATACAAACTTCCATACGGTTACTCCTGTAACTCCTTTCTTTACTGTATCACCTCTTTAAAAAAAAAAAAAAAAAAAATGTATTGACTCAAACAGATCCTGCAAGTAAAGAATTTCACATTACGCCATGGCTGGCATAATGAAGTCCCAGTTTCACTTGTAAACTTGAGGGGATGCTAGAACAGTCACACATCCACAGAGTTTAATATTGTTCATAAAACATATCACCCCCTGTGACACATTCTGATATGCCAAGATATTTAATAGTTAAGCTGATTATCAAATCATCTGAACTTTTAGTTGCAGTATCTTCCCACTGCAAGTTCCAGATTTAATTCCATGTCTTACATTAAACACCCCTCTTTTTTTTTTTTGCTTTTCAACTTCCACTTGTTTAATTAAACCTCCACATACTACATCAGAACTATTTTATCTTTTATCTCACATTTTTAGCATGTGCCTTAGTGTTATGATCTGTATGTCTAGAAATACATAAATACTTAAGTATACCAAAATTATAGAAAGGATGGTAAATACTGCTGTAAGAAATTAATTTTTGCAATTCCTGAACTGTAAGAAGTACAATAAGAAAGGGGTTAGGGTAGTGACCTGGTTTTTTTTAAATCATTATCTTTTAAACACACCTTGTAACACCTCTATGTTGTCTTCTGGTTACATATAGCATTTTATACATGCTAGAACTATGTTCATAGTATTTCAATAAATTTGAAAGCAATATTCTAGGAATAATGACATACAGTAAAACTTTTATCAATATCTTAAAAGGAAGAGATATAAAGACAAGAAATGCCTGGGCTCAAACGACTCACAGAAGCAGCTGATAACCTCTGAAATGTAAAGCTAAGTTTTTGAAATGGATAAGTGGAATTTGGAGGGGTTTTCTGCACCCCTCCTTCTTCTCCCCCTGCAAACATGTCGTAAAAATGTAAGTATAAATTAGCACAGCATATTCAAAGAGCTAAACAATTTTTCAGTATCAAATGCCAGAAGACTATTATACTATGTTACATGCTAAGAATAGCCTAAATGCATTGCTGTTAGAACCAGTTTAATGCCATGTGAGTTTCAGACAAATCAGTTTCCACATTTGTAGCACAACGTGGGCCAAATACTACTGACAGTTAAAATGCACTCTGAGACATGATAGCTGTATTCACTGTCAAGAACAGGTGCTTCTCAGAGCTCTAGAAAGACTCTGGGTGAAAGAACTGCCCTGGCTACAGTTATCTTTGTTGATGCGATATGCGTATCTCTTGTTCGGACAGCACTGGAAATTACCCAGTATTTTTCATTTGCATAACCATATATTTACTAAGCTCATGGCTTAGTTATTCACTCTTGCAACAGCATCAATTTGTTGTATGTTTGTTTTTATCCTTATCTTTTATTTTATGCAACAGATTTGGCTTTTATGAAAGAAATTAATAAATTTGCTGACAAAAATTGAAAGGCCAGCTTCTAATCAATTTCTCTAATTCTTCTGAGTAACTAACTCATCACAGAGAATGCAGAAGGAAGCAACAATAAAGGCCTCAAATGCCTGAGCATGTTAAATAAGGTTCCCCAGACCCATAAAGGAGCCTGGTGTGGTTGGTGGGGCAGGACAGCATCGCTACCTCTACAGTAGTTCACCACTGCAAATGGAACAGGTATTAACCCAGAAGGATGTACTGCTGCTCTATGGACAGACTGCAGTGTCTGATCACTGAACTCCTTGTTACTGAAGTAATGCAAAGCCTACAAACCACTACAACCACCTCGAGTTCCATGCAAAGCTCCCTGAAGACCTTGGCTAGGGTAGGACGCAAGTAGAGAGTCAGAATGACCACTTCACTGTGTTCGTTTGTATGTGTTCACACCATCTGTTTCCACTGCTGCCTTCTTCCTATGAGAGATGGGTGATTTGAATCTTCTAACAACATTAAAAAGGGGCAATACTAGTAAATAAGGCATCTTCGATGTTTGAAAATGGATTGCTAGCCTTCAGGGTGCTGTGGCTTTTTACAGTAGCCTTTCACTCCCGACTAGTCCTCCATGCCACAACGCATTTGTGCACACGTGCATTCTTTTGGGCATAAGTCTAGCGATAACTACAGCAAAAAGCAGTGCTACCAACTTCTTCCTTGCTAATTTAGGGTTCAAGACTCCCTACTCAAAAAATACCCTACTGCAAAACCCGAAGTCCCTTCTTTAGCAAAAGTCCTCGTACCACCTTGCTGGGGAGATGGCGACCTGTTGCAACTCCCGGAGAAGGACAGGGGTGTGTGGCCTAACCTCCAGGAGTCATTTCCCTTTCACTGGTAATGGAGGGAACTAAGCAAGTATCACCACTCCGCGCCATCCCACCCCATCCAAGAAAGCCCAACAAATGAAGGAACAGCTAAAAATGGGTGCTATGTAGCAGATTCACAAGGGAAGTAGGAGACCAGTACTTTAAAAAAACATCAGTTTGGTTTTGTAGATGTTAAAAATCATGATATCACAACAAGAATATATAAAGCCCATCATCACAAGTAGAATTTCAACGGACAAGGTTAGAGAAGTACATCATATCTAATTATTTATTTGGACTCTGCAAATGTGATTACATTCAAGTGATGGGGATGTATCTTAAATGAACAAACAAAATTCATCAAGAATTTTCAGAATACTACATCACAGAACAAAAACTGAAGAGGACTCAAAGAAAAAAAAAAAAAACCTGCACCACAATGAGCAATCTTTAAATGTCTTTTTTTCCCTCCCTGAGGCTAGAACAGCTGCAATGTGTGGATAAGGTAGGAGGATAGTACAGCATCTTTCCAGAGGAAGAGGCTTCAACAAGCTCTTATGTTCTCAGTGCATTACATCCGAATATGCTCATTAAGTTTTTTTACAACCACTTCATAATATTTTATGTTGTTTTTTCCCCCTCCATCTGGCCATGAACATGTATAAGCAGTTCTTTTTAATGGAAGAACTGTCAGACTTATGAAAAAAATTTGGCAGGCTTTCACAGAGGTAAGCTATCTTTTTCATAGCAGAAAAAAAGAACAAACACTGAGATATTCACAGAATCACAGCTTTGGTTTGAAGGGATGTCAGGATCTTTGTCCGGCCCAACCTACACTCAAAGCAGAGGCTATTCGGTATTTCATTTATCAGCAAGTTTTTAGTCCTGACTGGTCAGTCCAACTGCAAGTTTCACGCATTCCAATATTACTTGTTCAAGCATTAAACAAATAAGAGTAACCATAATATTTATTCAAAAGGCTAATACTGTATATTTTGTCTTTAAAAAAATAACAGTACTTAAAAGCTATTCTGTCTACCTAATGCATCACTTAAGAGTTGTATAACAACCCATGACAAACTACAGGATCCCTCTTCAACATTCATGTACATTTGCAACAAGAAAATGAAAATCCCCTTCTAAGATCTCCTATTCAGTCTTCATTCTAAATTCACAAGCAAAAACCAGGCAACAATAAGCAGACTTCCAGAGGAAGTGGCAGTTTATCATCTTTGAAACAATTACCAACAGATAAAAAACATCTTAACAATATTACAGTGTCTGAGGGTAACAAATGTTTCTTTTTTTTTTTTTTTACAAGTTTTTGTAGTACTTCAGGTTGTACGACATCAAGAAAGCAATTATTATTGACAAAAGCTGAATTTAGCTTGACAGTAAGCAAAACAAATCTAATCTCACATTTTTAAACAATGCTGACATCTCAGCATTCTTCCATATATCCTCCTTTGTTGCATTATCCAAAGAGATACTCATCTGCTAATGCTAATAAGTTTAAACTTCTCTTAATATCAACCTTAAGAACTCACCCCAAAATCCAGACTTGAAATTTGGCTTGCCTCCTTTTACCTGACTTTCAATGATTACTAAAAACATCACTCAGAGCAGATTGACAGTCATATTGAAAAATGTCACGTTTTTCTTACAGACTGCACTATTAAATGTATATTCTGTACGTAAGGAAGGCATTCCTTAATCTTATTTATGGATTATTAGCAGCCAAAAAAACCAGAAAACTGATAGAGACTAGAATTTGTTGTGCTACATATAATTAAGACTTTAAATTATTTAATCTTTTAAATACAATGCCTTAATCAGGAAATATGTGGTCTTTATTTGAACTGTCATCTTACTACAGCTATGAAATTGGTATTTCTTAACTACGTTATTCCCCTCCAGGGCTAGGCAGTAGAACACAAGCTACATTTTTCAGTATTTCATTAAAATACCTCATATTCAAACTTGCTGGAGGCTCACCACTTGCAAAATAACTTTAAAAAAATTGGATCTTATTTAAGTGCTTCCATTTTCATGCTTTAATCCGAAATATTAGACAGAGCTCTAAACTATGAAAATGAAAGCAGACAGAAAATACCATTCATAAATCACAGATTATATGAAAGCATGCATATATAAATAGATTGCTATTTCTGATTAGCAAGTAACCAGAAAACATGCAGACACAATAATTTCAACAAGTGGCATATTACCTGGGTGGAGCTGGCAGCAACAGAAATGCAGTCAATGAAACCATGTCTCCGAGTGAAAAATGCGACTATCTGCTGCCAACGGGAAGGCTCATTCCGTAACTCATCTGTCGAGCCTTTCTTTGCCCACTGCTTGTGCTTTGGGCCTACAGAACTGTGGCTTGAGCTAGTGTTGCCTCGACTGGCGCGAGAATAGAGGAGTGTGTTATTTCCGAAAATGTAATTCATCTCTGCAGCTCTGCAGGTGGTTGCCAGGCAGTCTTACTTCCCTACCAGCTGCTGAGTGGTGAATGAGCAGGGAAAAAAAAATGCAGATAGAATTACAGCAGCATCGTTTACAAAACAGGAAAACAAAATTCTTGATAGCTGATGCTATTTTTCTTCCAAGCTTTTCCAGCTCCTACATCCCTTCTCTACCTGTGATTACAATGATAAGCATAATCTTGAGCAATTAAAACAAAGCAAGCAAATATTTTTCTTATTTTTCCTTTTTCAGAACCCACAGGATCGAAAGCTTGCTTCCCCTTCCTAGCTGACAACAGATACTTAAGAGAAACTGCGTAGCAGGTACAGTACAACGTTACGAATTCACAGCTATGAGAACGGTGGTGCATGATAACAGCTACTGGGTGGAGAAAGCACGGATCAAAAATAACCAAGTTTCAATCACTGCCTGGAGTAAGATCCAATAGCATCTTTTCACTTCCTTGCTTGCATAAATTATAAACCTGAACCGAACAAAACAGGGAGCATGCAGTATAATTGCAGTTGTTCACTGATTCTGTCTTTCTGAAAATGCTTCACAGAGAAAAAGACCTTAACAACACGTCCAGAAAAAATATTCACGAAAGAAGTGTTTGCTGGTTTCTTCTTCCCCTCCCCCCCCTTATGTTTTTAGTGCATAAAACAACCATAGAGGGAAGATATCATTGTGCCATAACACAGTCATTTTGTGCTGCATATTAATGGGTGTCTAGTGGGGTTGTTTTGTTGGGGTTTTTTTGTTTGTTGCCTTTTTTTTTTTTTAACTAGCAAGAAGATTAGGGATGTTAAGATTAAAACACCAGAAGTCAACACTCTGTTGTTCTTATTTTATGATTAATGTGTCATGATCATAACACCTATTTCCAAAATTCTGTGAACACTGTAAGCATAATATGAAAACAATAAATACGAAAACAACATTACTTCTCAAAAGTACAAGAACTGGCAAAAAAATGAAAAATTCTTAATATGTACTAATGAATTTTCTATAAAGTTACTTTGATTGTCAATGCAAATCACAAGCATATTACTGCTATAGGTGTGCATTTTCTCTGCTCTCTTCACAGTAAAAAAGGAGAAGTCACACAGTAAATATCAAAAAGATTGTAAGAATTCAAGTTACCTTACTGAATTCACCATTCACATTTTTGCAGTCAATTGCTTTAAGAAAAATCCTCCAGCTCACATGAAAGAGATTACTTAGGAAATCAGTTAAGTGTCAAGGTTTTCAGTGCAAGCTTGCCCCCAGAATTCCAACAAAAAGTTATCAAAACTGTTTGTGGTATATTTCTAAACAAAATGCTCTAACAGTCATAACCATAACAAACCAGGGCAAACATTTTCAAAATGAAGAAAACTCTCAATATGATGATCAAAGGCAGAAGAGTTCCTTACAATGATGCCACAAGTTACAACAACATGATTCTACAAATCCACTGACTCACGATGTGCATTTTAGTGGGGATTACCAAATTCCCCCATATACTTTTTTTTGGTGCAATATACTCTTCTGTTTAAGAAACTCTTACTGACAGCTATCCTATTCTGTGTAACAAATTTTTCCCAAGAGCTTACATTACAAGCAGAAATAATAAGTACATTAATTTAAAACTGTGGTAATAAGATCAATGCACCATTTACTTCTAGTCACTAGTACAGCTCAATAACATATCACATACAAGTAATTTGAGTACATCTTTCAGATAGACTTTATTAATATTCATAAAATACAATGGCTTATCAGTGTAAGTCATATGAAACTCGGTCTGACTTGTGCAGTGTCCTCAAAGCTATGTTCATAAGATAGGTAACGGAGGTAGAGAAATGCCTGAGACATAGCAGATGCAATGAGCCATTTAAATGGACAAGGTTTTCATGGGAAGACTGCAGCCCTGCCTGAGCCCTACCCTTTTCCAGACTCAAAGAAAATACCTAGTCTGAAAAATGCCTATGAATTTATTACTGGAGAAATTCCTTAATCCCTCGCTATGATTGAAGATGTTTGGGAGAAGCTACAAATTACATGCTTTGAATTCTGAGTCTTTTTATAAAGAGTCAAAGTGAAAATATTTTTTGTTTTTCTTCATATGGCCTTGAATGTTGACAATCTTGCACATTTCAAAAGACCTGAGAACACAAGAATATTAGTATAACTTTCAAAAAAAAATGTTTAAGAATTCAATAATGTATATATGAGATCATTCATATACATATGTGTGTGTGTGTGTGTGTCTCCAGAGGCTTCAAACCGAGAGTCACATGGGGAAGTATTGTTTAAAATTCTGAAAAAGAAACACCACAATACATGGACAAGCCATGTAACAAGTACTTATTTTTCTTGCTGTTATATCAATCTGCCTGAAGATGCGACAGGTTTCCTGTGGTTTAAGGTAGTTTCTTTCAAGGATGATTCCCATCCACCCACCGATCAACTGCGGCATCACCGACAAAAAGACTTTAGAAATCAGCACTTCAGGAAAGGCTCATATGGACAAAAAAAAAAAAAATCCTGAATGCGAAGCTATGATGATCTCATTTCAACAGAGACAGAAATCCAGAAAAGTACTTCAGGAAGAGGTTATGCAATCACACTGGTGATACAAGGCAGCAATCTGTGTCACCTACACTCCATATGGATATTAACGGTATCGAGCAAGATTTGCTGATGCCTAGGATACAGTTGCAGTTATTTGTAGAAAGAGCCTGTACTGTGGTGATGAGACAAGTCCCGATTTTTACAAGTTGCAAAGCAACCTGAAGATAAAGGCATGGTGTAACTCTAGCGATGATACAACATCAGGATAATGCAAAGGAATCCAGACTAGGAGAATAGTCATTTGTATAGTTAAAAAAATGATGGGTGGGAGTAAAAACAAGGGTTTGTTTTGGTCAAAGAGCATTTTGACAGAGGGTCAAACACCTACAAGTAGAAATCAGAGAAAGTGCTATTTGGACAGAAAAAGGAGTATCCAGAGAAAGGAGAATCTAAGAATCGTCAACACAGAGGTGGTAGCCGAAATTGCATCTGTGAACGACTGCCTCGAGCCAGGAGGCAGAACAGGGAGGCTCACCAAGGAATCTCAGGAAGTCCTAAAGGGACCTGAGAGCTTCCGTCATCCCTTTTCATATTCTGGATGTTGGACTGATGGGGATAAAATTTAAACCAAAAAAAACCTCAAACAACCAACACCAAAAAAACCCAACCAAACAAAAAAAACCAACCCCCCCACAAAAAACTCGCACCAAAACCAAACACCACAGCAAAACAAAAAAGCCCCTATTTACTGTGAGGCAAGAATTAAGAACTTGCAGATTTTTTTTTAAAAAAAAAAGGCACATAATTAAGATTTCTACATTGGTAAACATACCTTTCTACAGCTTAATAAATTTACTGAAAGATACATCCGCATTTGTAGTGGATGCAGAGTAACATTATTTGTTCTGTGGCTAATTAACAATATATAGTAATCACAGTGGTTACTGAATTTAAAAATTACCATCAAATGCTTGCAATAAAGTTCCTCTGATTTTGTACCTGAGCCAATTCTTATTATCAGCTTGCTGGGACAAGTTAAAACATGACATAATGCCATATTTTTATCTCACAGATAAAGTTTCCCTAGACATAACTTTACACGCAGCATGCATACCTTGAAATTAAAAATGCACAGCAACAAAACCTGTTTGTATATGGAAACAGCAGTTATACCTCAATTACCCTTTTTACACAATAACAACAAAACTCCTGAAGGTTTGAAGTGTCTTATGTTATTTTTATTACTATCCTGCTAAACAGAATATTGGCTAAAATAAGCACAGACCCTACAGGAATAAACTGATACACTTAATAAAGTTCAAGAGCCACCTAAAACAATAGCAAGGACTTATTTTCAGTATCACTTAGGTTTTTTTCAAAAATAGATACAAAGAAATGTGCAGAACTCAATTTAAATACTCAGATATAGACTATACAGCTTTAACTCTCCAGACAGGGGAACAAAAACCACCACTGAAAATATAGATATAAATTCATGTTTACTTTTTACACTTTTCAGAATTCTATGTTTAATACATTTTTACTGGCATAACAAATTTAAGCCTCATTAATAAGCATATGTAATATTCTAAGCCAAAGCCCAGGAGTACAGTACTTAAATTGGACACTGTGGAAAAAGACATTGTTAACTCTTTCAGCTAAAATACATTAGAAAGCCTAACTTAGCTTTTAGTTGAGAGACAGGACCGCAGGGCAGCCCTTGATCAAGCGTGATTCACACAGTCAATAAAAAGTAGATATTTTACTGCTGAAACCACCTTATAAGTAAACACCCCAGCATGATTATTCTATAGTGATACATTTTAGTATAAATATTGAATATAAAATATTATTACATTATTACTCATACGACACCTCAGCCAACCTACCAATCTGTGCAGATTAAACTGCCTGTTCTTCCATACCCTGTTCATGAATCTCCGGCCCATCTTTTTGGCACGCCAGACTGATAAAAACATTCTGTGTTTAATGCAAGTTTCTTTAGGCTTTCTTCAGTGAACCCAACTTCAAATGAACCCAACTGCACTGAGAGCTCAGGGGAAATCTCAGGCGAAAACAGTATAACCAGTTATTAAGAAGACTTGATGTTGATTACTGTATCTTAGGTTGTTCTAATGTTTGGATTAATCCACAGTCCATCTGTTACAGTTTTTCTTTCTTGTCTCTGTTGACAAGGATGTGTTGAGCAGACCCATACTGAGAAAAGGCCAGATTTGGTCAACTGCTTCTTAGTGTAAGACACAAACTGACACCTTTACGCATATTTATATAGTCTTCAATTATAGGAAGTTTAAAAGCAGTAACCTATCAAGAACTTGGGCAAGGCATTTTAATTAAAGATTGTAGAGCACCTCCTCTCAAGAGTGACCACCAAAGTATGACGCTAGTCTAAAAATTAGTATTTCTG